GTTTGATGCATTAAGTTATTTTATTTTAAAAAACATTGTGGGCAGTTCTGCTAGAATCATTTGAAGGCCAGAGGCCATTTATGTAAATTGCATGAGATTATATTGTGCGTGCTGCCGGTTGGGTTATAAAATGTCTTTTATGCAGGTGGAAATTTTGGGGAAATGTTCAATTTACAGGGGAGACTCTGCCGAAATTTCGGCAGAAAGTCTCGTGCCCTTAATCCTCTCTGGTAAATGAGGACATAGTTTTAAGGAGTGAACCCGGCGTGGGTGTGATGCCGGGGTCTCCGCAGGGTTCGCCTCAAGTTCCGGAAAATTCGAGGCGGGTCCTGTCATATAGGGTGGCAGAGATTTGAATATTTGATATGTTGTGAATATGTGTTTTCCTCAAGTTCATAGGTCTATGACTAGTTGTTGACTAGTGATATTGTCAGGGACGGACTCATAGTGGGGTCAATGGGGTCAAATGACCCTATAGACTCCAAGAAAGTAAGGTAGTAGGTCCCTTTGAATTGGTATGTGACCCCATGAAAGGCTGAAGAAGGAGTTACAGAGGTACTAAGGAAGAAGAAGATGAACATAAATCTGTTTTTTTTTTTCAAAAGAAGCTGGCCAAAACGGCGTCATTTTGGCCGAGCTTCTAATTTTTTTAAAAAAAACGGGCTGGCCAAAACGGCATCGTTTTGGACCAGCCAGCGCCTTTTTTTTAAAAACCCGGTTACCAAAACGGCGTCGTTTTGGTAGCGAAAATTTTTTTTTTTAAAATTGCGCTGGCCAAAACGGCGTCGTTTTGGGCCAGCAGCACAACACCGAATTTTTTTTAAAAGACCTGGCCAAAACAACGTCGTTTTGGTCCAAGTCTTTAAAAAAAAAAAAAAAAAAGAGGTCATATTGTATATGCACAGACCCTCCATCTCTCCTGAATTTTCAACTCCAAAACCCCCATTTTCTAAACCCTCAAACCTAAATCCCCAATCTCCACCCCCCACAAACCTTTAACCCTCTCCCCCACCAAGCCTTTAAGCCCCAACTCCTCCATTGCCGCCGCTTCTAGCAGCGCCGCCACTTCCAAAAGCTTTGCTTTGCTTCCACCACCTCACAATTCAAGGTAAATTCTAACTCTAAACCTAAATAACTTGAATTGAAATTGAATGTATGATTATATTATATTGTTTTGATATATTGGATGTCTTATTTATGAATTTGTTGTGGTTAATTAGTATAAATTTGGTGTTCTCTTTAATTGAATTGAAATTGAATGTATGATTATATTATATTGTTTTGATATATTGGATGTTTTATTTATGAATTTGTTGTGGTTAATTGGTATAAATTTGGTGTTCTCTTTAATTGAATTGAAATTGAATGTATGATTATATTATATTGTTTTGATATATTGGATGTTTTATTTATGAATTTGTTGTGGTTAATTGGTATAAATTTGGTGTTCTCTTTAATTGAATTGAAATTGAATGTATGATTATATTATATTGTTTTGATATATTGGATGTTTTCAGGAATTAATCGACGCTTCATTCCCCAATGGTTTGATGAATTTGATTGGTTGGAGTATAGTGTATCTAAAGATGCTGCATTTTGTCTTTATTGCTATCTCCTTAAATCCAATTTTGAGCAAGTGGGTAATGAAGCCTTCACTGGAGCAGGGTTTAAGAATTGGAAGAAAGGGAGAGAAAGAATGAAGGTGCATGTTGGACTGATTGGTAGTGTTCATAATAAAGCTAGAGAAGCTGCTACAAATTTGATGAATCAAAGTACACATATTGAAACGGCTGTGAGCAAACACTCCGAACAAGCTCATGTGGCATATCGAAGATGCTTAATTGCTTCAATCAAGTGCACTAAGTTTCTATTGAGACAATGTCTTTCTTTCTGTGGAAATGATGAAAGTGCCACTTCAAGCAATAGAGGAAATTAATTGGAGCTATTGCAATTCCTTGCAGACAATGATGAGAAAGTTAAAGAAGTTGTGTTGGAAAATGCTCCGGGGAATTTCAAGTTAGTAGCTCCAAAGATTCAAAAAGATATTGTCAATGCATGTGCCGGGGAAACACTTGATGTTATAATGAGTGGTTTAAAAGATAGATTATTTTCTATATTGGTGGATGAAGCACGTGATATTTCTGTGAAGGAGCAAATGGCTATGGTTTTGCCTTATGTGGATAACAAAGGGCATGTAATTGAAAGGTTTAAGCTTTTCTAAGTTTCGAGGACAAGATTATGATGGACTAGCCATATGAGAGGTGAGTTGAATGGCCTCAAAACAAAGATTTTGAGAGAACAACCTTGTGCATACTATGTTCATTGCTTTGCTCATCAACTTCAACTAGCACTTGTTGCCGTAGCAAAGAAGAATATTGATATTGCCTCTTTCTTCACAACCACTAATAGTGTGGTTAACCATGTTGGAGCGTCTTGTAAGCGGCGTGATGCACTTAGAGCACAACTTCAAGAAGAGCTTGTGATAGCTTTTGAAAATGATTGTCTTATAACGGGGCGAGGTTTGCATCAAGAAACAAGTCTCAAACGTGCCGGTGACACACGATGGAGCTCACATTACGGTACCATTATTAGCATCATTTCTATGTTTTCATCTGTGATTCATGTGCTTCAAATGATTATTGATGATAATCCCAATGATAGTGCCGGTGAAGCAAATAAGATTCAAAGGGAAATGCTTACTTTTCAGTTTGTGTTTCACCTATTCTTAATGAAAGCTATATTGGGACTCACAAATGATGTGTCACAAGCATTGCAAAAGAAAGATCAAGAAATTGTGAATGCAATGGCTTTGGTGAAATCATGCAAGGAAAAGCTACATTGGATGAGGAATAATGGGTTTGATGCATTAGTTGAAGAGGTGTCTTCATTTTGTAACAAACATCATATTGATGTTCCTAACATGGATGAGGCCTTCGTACTTTCAGGGAGGTCAAGGCGTAATGCTCCAATAAAAACAAATCGTCATCATTGTCGTGTGGAGCTCTTTATTTATGTCATTGATGAGCAACTTACGGAGTTAGATGATCGTTTTAATAAGGTAAATACTGAGTTGCTTATTTGTTTGGCATGTTTGAGTTCGAATGATTCATTTGTAGCTTTTGATAAACAAAAGCTACTTCGTCTTGCTCAATTTTATCCTCAAGACTTTTCGGATGGGGATCTTTTAGCACTTAAAGATCAACTTGAACTTTATATTCATTATATGCGTTCAAGTAGTGATTTCTTTAACTTGCAAGGGATTGGTGATCTTGCAAAAAAAATGGTGGAGACAAGGATGCATCGAGCATTCAATTATGTGTATTTGCTTATTACATTGGCTCTAGTTTTACCGGTTGCTACTGCTTCAGTTGAGAGGGCATTTTCCGTCATGAATATTATCAAAGGTCCACTTCGGAACAAAATGGGAGATCAATGGTTGAGTGATAGCTTACTTGTTTATGTTGAGAAGGATGTTTTTGATTGTATTGAAAATGAAGCTATAATGCTTCGTTTTCAAAATATGAAACCTATTCGTGGCCAATTGTAATTTTTAATGTTGTTTTTTACATGAATTATGAATGAATGTATTGTAGTTTCATTTTCAATGTTATATTAATCTTTATAAAAAAAAAATTGAACTTTTACACTATGACCCTACGACATAAAAGTCCTAGGTCCGTCCCTGCATATTGTCTCTAGGTTTATTTGATCATTTTTTAAAAAAAAAAATTTTTACTATGGTGGAGAAATATTTGATTTACCATATATACCAGAAGTAAAATGTTTGATTTACCCCTAACATTGACGAAAGTAAACAGAATTGGCGGAAAAATGAAATTGCCACGCAAACGGACATATAAGGATTACATAAACCACAAAAAATAAAATAGAGCGTCAAAATAAAATTCGAGTATAAAACAAGGACCATTGTTGTTAAAACCCCATAAAAAAATAATGTACAAAATCAAAGTTCAATCTAACATCCAACTTGAATGAAAAAACAAAATATTCTAGGTTCTTTAATTATAAAATTTTAACATTATTTTCTTACTAAAGATTGGAGATGCATGGCTTGGAGTAAAAGTATTTTGTTGTGGCTGCCAGGAAAAAATAAAAAAAAGGAATACGGCTCAATTAAGCAATGCATGTCAACTATTCAATATATATATTGATCTTCATAAAAATATATTATGATCAAACAATATAATATTAGTCAATGATGTCATATGCAATGTTCGTCAGCATTTTTTTGTTGTTGAAGAGAAACGATGTATTGATAACAAATAGAATTACAATGAGTCTTTGATCACAACATCCTCAATAATTCTGGGAGGAGTCCCAAACCAAGAAATAATCTCACATTATATACCTCAATTGACAACCCACAATCCACTATTTGCATACCATATTTTGGGTTTGTGAAGAGAAGATGAGAGTGTAGTAGGTTTCTTAGATTGAAAGAGAAGAATAATACGGCAATAGGTTGTAGAAGAGTTTGTGTTTTTCTTGTTAGGTTATGTTTAGATAAGGCTTTTAGCTTCCCTTGACAACTTTGTAATTGTACATATAATTCATCAAGCTCAAGGTTAATTAGACTAGGTTAGTCTAGTTAGATGATTATTGTGGCTGAGATCAACAGTGGCACGATGTAATCAAAATCTTCAAGGGTAAATCATGGATTGCATATATATTAGGACATATCAAGTCAACGTGATGACTAGTCATTTGGTACTACCAGCTCGTTGACAACTCATTTAAAATCTCACGTGAGACTCACACTTGGCGAGTTGTATTTTTTGTCCTAATGATTTTTTGTCTCGTTATAGCTTCAATTATTAGCTGCCATGTGGATTGTTTTCCGACCTAGCTTTTTTGGTATAAAGGGAGTCTTGGTTCTTGTAGCCGTCACTCTTGAGAGGGAGAGTTTCTTGAGAGTTTTGTTTTTGGTATGCATCTTCTTCTTTGATGAAAGTATCCATTTTTCATTATGAGGTTTTAAAATCTGCTTTGATCTTTGAAATCCACTTCACCCATTGAGAATTTTTTAGAGTAAAACTTTTACTTTGCATTCTCTACTTGGTTTGAAAATTGTTTTACTTTGCATTCTCTACTTGGTGAGATTTGGATTTTCATTACCTCCCTTTACTTAAGTACCAATTTCATTTTTAAAACTTAATATAAAGAGTGGTGGGGTGTATATATAGATGTACTAGGGGTAAGTATTAAGTTGGATGACTTTTTTTGTCTTTTTACACAATAATAAAACTTAAGAGCTTAATGATTTAAGTATTTGGGTAAATAGAGAAAAATGTGGGGTTTAAATAGAAAAACTCTATATTCTAGAGCATGAGAGACAATAAATACTCACATTCATACATTCTTTTTGGTTATCAACTAGTTCTTAGTCCTGTAGTATCCCTTATTTTATTCATTGAAAAATGCTTTAAATTCAAAGACTGATAGAAAAAGAATAATGCATTATTTTTTGTTTTATTTAAATAAAGACAGTCGATTATTTGATAAACCCAATATAGTTTACTTTTAATATTCAACTGATGTACAATCCCATTAATAATATCAAAAACATAACATAACACACAATCAGTGGCAAACCAATCACTCACAACTCATAATCTTCATGGTTCACCTGATACGTTGCGTTCGGTGCTCTGCCAGTGCCAACATCACGGCCAGTCCCATTTCTCTATTTCTCTTACAGTTTTGGCTTCCTTTTGCCTATTGTCCTTTCAAACTACTTGTTTCATTTATTTATTTATTTATTTATATACTTGATTGAACATCTTGGGAATAACTAGCAGCATCAGATTAAGGGCGAAACCAAGTAGAAAGAGGAGTTGCTTGAATGTCCACGACATGTTCACTAATATACAAAGTTACTTGGTCGTCTTGTAGACAATTGTGATGATTGATGACCAATTTACGTATCATATTATAGGGTGATGATTGATGTCAAATTTACGTAGACAACTGTGTGGAAATTTGCGTTTGATTAGAGAAGACTTGTTAAACGGAAAGAATTAGATATTAGTAATGGATATGGTGCAGGCCTCTAATCAACATTAACCTGCCCAGTAATCCATGTGTATGGGGTCCAAGCTTTATACTGCTTAAATATTGAGCATCGACTTTGACTCGGTCGTCGTGCACGTACCTGTCAATGTGAATCTGGCTTGCCTTGTGGAAAATTTGGGCTTGATATGGAATTGATAATTAGACATTAATAATTTATTATTGACTAGTAAATAAAGGTATTTTTCTTTTTATTTTTACCAAAAGAAAATGAGTGGTTTGAAATGCCTCTAGACATTATTCATAAGGTCTTGACTGAGGATAGTTGCAATTGGAATCACATATTAAGTTCCCTACTTCTTTCTAATTTTTAATAAAGTTTCCCTCTTACCATTGAGCTTTACCCCAAAAAAAAAAAAAAAAAAAAAAAAAAAAAAAGAGGAAGAAGAAAAAAATTAAAACAAGAGAATGTAAACGTAACAATACGCAAGAAAATTGAAAACTCTGGAGACGGGGCCTAATATTTATGGTAATATGACCTTAGGTTAATACAAGAACAGAGCTCAAACAAGAGTCCTAATTCATGGACTTGAACAACATCCAAGAAATATGGAAGATAAGCCAAACTTCTGTGATGTGAAGAACTTCTATCAATACTAGAAGTCTAGAACAGAGCCAAAACAGGAGCCCAAATTCATGCTTCTTTTCATGATTAGCTACAAAGGCACAATGGAACTCAAGCAGAAGCGTTATGTACTGGTACCAGTACTACCTCACTGAGGGAGTAAGCCTAACAATCGAATTGTCAGCCATTAATGCATTGGAATTATTGAATCCAGTTACACGGCTACGATTTGTTTGAGCACATTCTGTTGCCAAACACTCCTTCAAATCCACCACTACTTGGCTCATGCTTGGCCTCTTGATGGCATTTATGGATACACATGCCATTGCTATTTCCACAGCTTTCCAGACGGAGTTGGTATTGAAATTTCCCTCTAACCTAGGATCGACGATGCTGTTAATGTCTCCATTTGCAAGCATGAGACCAACCCATTGACTTATGTGAATTCTCTCATGCGTCCTCGTTAAAACCGGTCTGCTTGTGATAATCTCCAACAGCACAACCCCAAAGCTATAAACATCACTTTTCTCATTTAACCTGCTTGATAGGTAGAACCTGCAAGCCAAACCATACATGGAACTCATCAGATCACATTTTCTGATGCAAAGGACTTTGCTAAAATGTCCACTTATTTTTTCTTTCATAATTCTTCTTGCTGTTTTAGTTAATTTGTGTTTGCTTCCTAGACTTGTTGTGAATTTAAGTACTAGTAAAGATGATAATGGGGGAATTAAAAGTGTGAAATACTTACTCAGGATCAAGGTAGCCAGGCGTGCCAGCAAGATGGCTGGATGCATGAGTTCCATCATGAGTAGGGAAATTTCTGGATAGGCCAAAATCAGATATTTTGGCTTGGAAACTTTCATTCAGCAAGATGTTTGTTGATTTCACATCCCTGTGCATTATCGGTGGCTTACAACCACAATGCAGATACTCCAACCCTGCATTTTAAAATTTTTACATCGCTTACACAAAAGTTCAAATAAATAAAAGAGATTCTTGCTATAAAAAAAAAAAGGATCGATCATGAAAATCATTTTAGTTGCAGACCTTGTGCAGCATCTGTTGCTATTCGAAGTCTATCTTCCCAAGTCAAGATACTTGATCTGCTATCTGCATCCATAAGAAGAACAGAAGAGCGTAAGCCTTGTTTCTTTCTGTCTTACCTTACAAAGGAGCCCCAATCATATGGTGGTGTAAGAATTAAGTTACAGAGTTCCCAAATATTTGGAAGTACTACTTGCAGCCAAACCTGAAAGATGGTTCAATAAGTTCCCATTGGCCATATACTCGTAGACAAGCCCTACTTGGGTTTCGTCGTTGCAATATCCAACAAGGCTTGTCAAGTTTTTATGATGAACTCTCATAAGAAGATTAACCTGCAGTTTAAGAGGCCACAAATAAAACACGTCAATTCATTACATAAAATTGAGCTCAAGACATTGTGTTAGTTTATTTGATTTGACAAACATTACCTCTGCATGAAATTGTTGGAACCCTTGAACAGATGATGCTGAAAGCATCTTTATAGCTACTTGAGTATGGTCCATGTAGCCATGATACACGGTTCCAAATCCACCTCTACCAAGGACCCTCTCAAAGTTGTTGGTCATCTTTAGTATCTCAGAATATGTGAACTGTCGCTTTGTTGATTCTAATGACCCGTATTGAGGGATGGATTTTGCATCTATGACATCTCCTAAGAACATTACAAGCTTAATGAGCATGTATCTTATACAACCAAACCTTCAGTCTTCATCATTTATCGCCCAAAGAAATTACTTTAACAAATATTGGAAGTCTTACCATGTTGTCTTTTCCTTTTGAAGCCCCACCAGAAGATAGCTGCTACAACTAATAAGAGGATGAAAATTCCAGCGATTGACACTACTATGGGAATAACGAAACCGTGCTTCTTCTTCAATGTGCAAGAAACAGGTTGAGATAGATGTGCATTATCACACAAACTGAGATCAAATGGTTGATGGAAAATGCAGTTAGATTTTGATAAATTATAATCACCGATTTTAATATCCTCTGTAATCAGATTCTAAGGATTACCTGATAATTAAATATTTTGGAATCTGAGAATATTTGAAAATTAGAATAGAACAGAAAACCCTCAATTTTAGGGAGAGCCAAACACAGAATCTGAAGGCCATGATTTTCTATGAAAGGCTTACCTTAGTGATAGAGAACCACTATTCTTTCTTTCATTCAGTCCTACCGGAACCGAGCCTGTGAACTTGTTTTTCTCCAAGTTTCTGCAAAGATCAAATCTATCACGGTGCTTTCTAACAAATTATGCATTTACGGTACTTCAGACATATAACCAAATAACTTACAGGACAGTCAAATTTGGGAGTTTAGACAAAAAGTCTGGGATTGGTCCTGTTAAGTTGTTGTTTGATAAATCCCTGAAATCATGAGCAGCTCAACTCATTCAAATTAAAACAAATACTCATTTATTACATTGGTAAGGTAAATACATTGTCTACCTTCTCATTAATGACATTGATAATTACTCATTTAGCAAATGCAGCAAGACATACTTACAAAGACTGTATCATTATGAGATTGGATATAGAAGCAGCTATCTCCCCTGTTAAGCCATTCGAGGACAAGTTCCTGATTGTATTTTTTGTAGATTCAATAATTAAGACATGATGAGGTATAATTAACTCAAATATCAGGAGAAGTTTGTTTGAGGTCATATATATATACTTACAAGGATATGATTCTTGGTGACTCAAAGTCTTGATAGTTACACTTTACACCTTCCCAAACGAAATTTTGAGGGGCACATGGATCTCCTTGCCAATTCCTTTTAATTTTATAAGTTGACTTGATGTATGCGATTGCATCAACTAATAATATTTTCACATTCAAACAGAAATTTCATCAGAACAATTCATATATATACCTGCGTATTGGTAAGGTACTAAATGATGAATCGACACGTGTAAGAAAGAACTAATTAGTGGTTACCATCTTCTTGGTTTGTTTCTGCTTCTATAAAATTTTTGACCATATAAATCTCGAAAGCATTGAGGATGGGTGGAAGGGTAGAGTTCTCAGCCCTGGTGATTGAAATATTAGCATATTGTGCATAAGAACTCCAGGCCCCAGTGCTGTGAATGGTATTGGACAAGTACTGAGGAGGAGCAAATGGCCCAAAAGTGCGGCGTCCGTTCCTAAAAATGTATTGGAATCTAGATTGGTTGACCCTTTCAACTTCTGCAAAGTGCAGGTAACTATAATATTCTGCATTTATGTCCGGCAATACGAAAATAATACTCAAGGAATCACTTGGATCTTTTGGCGTCGAAGCAGTACTCATAACTACAGATGGTGGTTGGAAAGGGTCGTCAGATTCAGTTTCGATGGTGGATGAGGTACTTACTTGTGTCCATTCATAAAGCTCATTATAGGAACTCCAGAAGCGATCATGAATATCGAATGGATACCTAGTTAAATCAATTAATACAACCAATGTTCCATCAGAAATATAATCAAAATTAAATGTTTCAAGGATTGCAAACACACATATTTGTATGTGTGTGTGTGTGTGTGATTTTCAATTCGTTGAGGGATCCTAAAATAAGTTTATTTGAAGTAGGACCCTAAAGTGTGTCCCTCAAATAAAAGTAGGAACCCTCAATAGAAGGGGACTATATATATATATATGGTTTGGAGATGACTCACCGGTATCCTCTCCTATCAGGTCTTTGGCCCATGTCACACCGGGTGACAAGTGCCAATGACCCCGTTGTTGTTTGATAAGACGCATTAGGTAAAGGCCTGAGTTCTAGATAAGATATAAACGGAACCCCAGAGCCTGTGTTCACCAAACAAACATGTATATAGTTTCGGAGTGCGACATGTATGAGCTCTCTGTGAGTGTTTACATCGGAGGCGTATTCGAACCTAACTGTATCCCATAAATTAGGTCCAAGGTGTAGATCAAATTCTGGTATCTTATTTTGGCCATCATAATTCCCGTATGTAAAACCAGCTCGCATAAAATATTTGTTGCCTGGTGTAACATTTATTTTGTAACAATTCCTGGCTCCTTCGGGGAAGCTCCTAACAGACCAGGATGGCTGTGTATAGTTATCTCTGTAATCAGGCGATATGGATTTACTTTCGCCGGTGTCTATGAAGGTTGCGTCTGAAATATAGTTAATGCCTGTTACCTTTTCAGAATAACTTGAATCTGTTTGGAGGCCGCAATCTATGCTAATGAATCCTGAGATATATACACACATATACATATGCAAGAAAGAGAGGATTTAGCTTAGCTATACATTATGTTACCAAAAGTAGCAATTTGTTTTCTTGCTGCTGATATTCTTATACCTGATTGACGATCTTGGGAATGAACTAGCAGCATCAGATTAAGAGCGAAACCACCAAGCAGTGCAAAGTGGAGTTGCGTGAATGACCACAACATGACTACAAGGGAAGCCAAAGACACAAGTAAGATATTTGTGTTCGATGGATATCATTTTATATATATGTATATATATAAGTAACTTAAGTCTACGTCAATCCTATGCTTTTGTCTCAGTGTTCAATGGATTAGATTGAAGAAGCAGCGGGGCTCAACTCATCCAATTAATGAGGTAGCGTTTGGTGGTTGCGTTCGGTCACCGCTGCAGCAGGGACAAGCCAGCTTTTAAAAGCTGCTTTTAAAAAAAATTTAACCGGTGGTTTTAATGAATTTTTGACATACCCATAATGCCCTAACTTATTTTTCGAATGGACAGTCCTTGTCCCTCCAATTACACCACTCCCATGAAAACAAGGCAACTTCATATTGTTTAGAGATATAATGAGAATCCATATACTTGCACAAGTGCCAAAAAAAAATTGCTAATCACTTTTGATATGACTACGCCAAGTCCAAAAATACTATCTATATTTGTTAATTATGAATTTTATTTTCTTTTTAAAGTGAAAATATAACAATTTCATTTTTCTAAACCGAGTCAAAAAGCGATTTTCTAAAACAGAGAGGATGGTTTTGATTTTCCCCCATTGACCACTGCTACAGAGAGGATGGTTTTGATTTTTGACGTTAGAGATGACCACTTTGCTAAGACATTAATTGTGTGGAAATTTCGGATTGATTTGGGAGTCCGTGTGAGGGTCTAGGAAAGACTTGTAAAATATTAACTCATTCAACACTTCTACGGAAGCTACAGCCAAGTCAAGTCATTGTTGGTCCACAATTACGTACAAAAAGATGCATAGGAGAGCAGGTAATAAGGTGGGAGAAAAACTTAGTTGCAACGGGAATTTTGTTTTGTTATTCCGGTTAAGAACAATATTGTTCTAGGAATCTTTATACTCAAAGTCCATTTTTTTAAGTTCTATTAGTTTAGTTAATTTGAACACTTGATTGTAAATTGTAATTTCCTTTGGTTATTATTATAGTAGAATTAATTTTCTCCCACCAGCGTGGAAGCTACTGCCAAGTCAGGGTTCACTAATATACAAAGTTACATCGCATGCATGACTTGGTCGTCTTGTAGGCCTCTTGCGCGTAACCGTCCGTGTCAGAAACATCATTGTATCATATTATAGGGTGATGATTGATGATCAATTTACGTAGACAATTGTGTGGAATTTGCGTTTGATTAGAGAAGACTTGTTAAACGGAAAGAATTAGATATTAATAATGGATATGGTGCAGGCGTCTAATCAACATTAACCTGCCCAGTAACCCATGTATATTTATACTGCTTAAATATTGACCATTGACTTTGACTCGGTCGTCGTGGACGTACCTGTCAATGTGAATCTGTGGCTTGCCTTGTGGAAAATTTGGGCTAGATATGGAATTGATAATTAGACATTAATAATTTATTATTGACTAGTAAATAAAAGTATTTTTCCTTTTCTTTTTACCAAAAGAAAATGTGTTATTATAAATATTATTTAAAATTTTGTTTTTGGCTAGGAGGGGAGGGAGAGTCATAAGAGTCACGCCATGGTCAATGATAACCATTTACCCCACAGTGAACCAAAAAACGCTGTGACGGGGGATAACCAGGGGTGTTTTGTTGCCGGGTTGGCCAAACAGGTGACCGAAGTTTCATCAGCAGAGCATGAGGAGGCTGTAGTTGCAACGGAGGCTGCTGTGATGTTTGCTGAGATGTTATCCTTGCAATGGGTGATTTTTGAAGGAGACTATTAATATAGTGCTGAATTTTAAGCGATACTTTCAGCTGGGTTAAATTTTAATGCACTCGTTGTGAGGCACACAGGACTGTCAGATGTGCTCTATTATGTACTCATGTTAATGAGTGGTTTGAAATGCCTCTAGACATTATTCATAAAGTCCTCGTTTACCATAGAGGATTAAGGGCATGAGACTTTCTGCCGAAATTTCGGCAGAGTCTCCCCTGTAACTTGAACATTTTCCCAAAATTTCCACCTGCACAAAATGCATTTTATAACCCAACCGGCAGCACGCACAATAAAATCTCATGCAATTTACATAAAGGGCCTCCGGCCTTCAAATAATTCTAGCAGAATTGCCCACAATGTTTTTAAAATACCTTAATGCGTCAAACATGCATATAATAAATTCAAAATCTATTTATGCACACCTTCACTCACTCAATCTACAGGACCAAACTCAATTCAACCAAGTTTCAGGACCAACAACAGGGTCCGAACCAATCTCAATAAGACCACCTAAGTGGGGTCTAATCTGTGGCTGCACCTAGTAACTTCAGGCTGCCTACGTACCCTACTAAGGGATCAAGCCACAAGTAGCTCTTTCGTATCTATCCTGGTTCCTAATATCAAATAAACCATTACAGCCATACAAATTCATAAATTCTAAGATCTATCCATCACAACTCACCAAACACAATCACAACATAATCCCCCCATACGACGGGACGCACCCGGCCTCGTATGGGGTCTGTCAACACGCCGGCTAATCCAAAGACGCGTGCGACCTCACACTGGGCCTGGCTACATTCTCACCAGCCCTCATACAATCATATCTCCCCTCATACGTCGGGACGCACCTGGCCACGTATGGGGTCTGTCAACACGCCGGCTAATCCAAAGACGCGTGCGACCTCACACTGGGCCTGGCTACATTCTCACCAGCCCTCATACAATCATATCTCCCCTCATACGTCGGGACGCACCTGGCCACGTATGGGGTCTGTCAACACGCCGGCTAATCCAAAGACGCGTGCGACCTCACACTGGGCCTGGCTACATTCTCACCAGCCCTCATACAATCATATCTCCCCTCATACGTCGGGACGCACCTGGCCACGTATGGGGTCTGTCAACACGCCGGCTAATCCAAAGACGCGTGCGACCTCACACTGGGCCTGGCTACATTCTCACCAGCCCTCATACAATCATATCTCCCCTCATACGTCGGGACGCACCTGGCCACGTATGGGGTCTGTCAACACGCCGGCTAATCCAAAGACGCGTGCGACCTCACACTGGGCCTGGCTACATTCTCACCAGCCCTCATACAATCATATCTCCCCTCATACGTCGGGACGCACCTGGCCACGTATGGGGTCTGTCAACACGCCGGCTAATCCAAAGACGCGTGCGACCTCACACTGGGCCTGGCTACATTCTCACCAGCCCTCATACAATCATATCTCCCCTCATACGTCGGGACGCACCTGGCCACGTATGGGGTCTGTCAACACGGTGACTAATCCAAAGACGCGTACGACCTTACACTGGGCCTGGCTACATTCTCACCAGCCCTCATACAATCATATCTCCCCTCATACGTCGGGACGCACCCGGCCACGTATGGGGTCTGTCAACACGCCGGCTAATCCAAAGACGCGTGCGACCTCACACTGGGCCTGGCTACATTCTCACCAGCCCTCACACAATCATATTTCCCCTCATACGTCAAGACGCACCCGGCCACGTATGGGGTCTGTCAACACGCCGACTAATCCAAAGACGCGTGCGACCTCACACTGGGCCTGGCTACATTCTCGCCAGCCACACGGGTTTAAAGGCCTCAACATGATCACGATATGGGGGGTACGTGGGGTAGTGCGTATAGCACTGTAAACTAACATTCGATTGCTTTATTTACTTTTATACATCCACACAATTTAATATATAATGTATAATTTCTACTCCCATACAAACCTCAACCCTGGTATAGCATCTGATAATTTCACAATTTAAATCATATAATAATATTCTAAATTCGCATATAAACCATTTAACTCAACAACGCTCAAGACCTGTCACTAAGGTCATTCTAACCCTCCTGGGATGATAGAACTACAACAAAAGTCTAGCAGTCAACCCAGGGTCAAACTACCCAAACTTGGTCACACAGGCCCGCGGGGCCCACGACCTCCAAATTCCGATCTGAAAGTTCCTATAGGTTCTACAGGCTCTAGGACACATGTCCTGCAAGTTT